CAAATTTCCCTGGTTAGTAACAATTGTCTGTGTACTAATCCAAATAGCTGTCCTTTTGGTCAAACACCAAACATCAACGGACAGTGTCAGTGTGATAGGACATGTCCTTTTGGCCAATCTGCAAACATTAACAACAACTGTCAGTGTCAGTGTGAAAGGACATGTCCTAGTGGCCAATTTGCAAACATTAACAACACCTGCCAATGTCAATGCGATAGGACATGTCCTTTTGGCCAAACACCAAACATAAACAACAACTGCCAGTGTGAATGTGACCGGACTTGTCCTAATGGCCAGACACCAAATATTACCAAAAATTGTATCTGTTCATGTACAAATACATGTCCACCTAATCAGCGACCTAATCCAAACAACAATTGCATTTGTGGTAAGTATGTCAACTTATATGATGACATGTAAATAATGAGTGTCATTAATACTAATATAAGTTTAAAATATTGTTGCCTCTGTTGACCTGAACATACAAGCCTTATTAAGTTTGAAAAAGAAAATTGTTGTTTTTTTTTAAAAAAGAAATAAAATATGATCTTTATATTTTGGTTACTGATTTATCCCTGTTTAGAAAAATCGTCCGTTGAGTTATCTAAGTGGTCAGATACTAGCTTTTTCCCGTATTTTAGTAAATGGATTTTGTGTGTTATTTGTGGTGAGATGTCAGTAATTGGTACACAAAAATGAACATCTTTCCTGTATGTGGTGTGTCAAATAACTTTGCTCATTACATGAGAACATTGTGTTATGTTGCCAATTTGACGCCCTGGGTGATTAAAACCGACGACGACGGCGCCTCTGCTAGTATTGTTATAATTAAAAGTCAACTTATATTAATTAAATCTTTAATCTAATCTCTGTTCCATGCCACTATTTCAATGTCACATAAAAGTAGTCATTTACATAAAATTCCTTGTCTTTGTATTTTCCAGAAGGAGTTTGCAGCCTTCAGTGCCCGATCCCTCAAACACCAGATTTAACTTGCAGTAATTGCCGTAAGTTTAATATGCTAGTGCAACCTAATCATTTTTAATTTTTACAAGTACCTTTAAAGCCTACGTCACAGTGAAGTTAGCTTTTTTTCAAGTTATCTCTAGGTGAGGGCAGGCTAGCTAATCACATGTAAATCTACATTTGAAATTATTTCAATTCATTTTTGTGTGATTGATAATAAAAATACTAGAAAAAATGTTTTTCAATGTTTCTTGACTTATTCTCCAAAGCTAATTCATGATTATTTTTGCCATGAATAATAAAAGATCACAATGTATACAATATATTTTCCCCCTTTCATTTCCACTCAGTGTGCCCAAGCTCCTGTCCAACTAATGCAAGTCGATTTGGCGTTTGTGATTGTCAGTGCAATGACCCCAGTTTTGTATACATCAGCAGGACAAATACATGTGGTATTTCAATAAACCTACAGTTTTATAATTCTCATTTTTAATAATTATAGTCAGGGTCCCGTCTGGGAAAGAAAATATGGATACCCAGCCAAAAGACAAAGACCCCAACCCCCAAAAATATATATAAAAGATATTTATTTCTTAGAAAATACAGTGCAAAAATCAATATAAAGTTAGAAGATGCAGGTTAACACTCACAATTTGAAGAAATAATAGAACATTGAGTGATAGATCACATGCAAAAGCACAATTAGATAATCTGTTTGCCTAACGAATAAAATGAGCACTCCTTTTGGTGATCATCATCATCATCATTCCCCCCCCCCCCTTTTCCTTCCTGCCTATGCTATTTCTTCAAAACCAACTTTTTAAATTGGGAAAGGGTGTTCCTGCTGTGTAAAAAGTACAGACATGTCCTTCCCATGAGTTTCTGCCGGATTCATGCCCTGCTTATAATGAATCCCCAAGTCAAATATGATTGTGTGTTGGGTGCATGTTATATACAAAAAAGCATTGTTCGTTCAATCAGTTTAGATCTTTTTTTTCAAGTTATTGTTTGTCGCCCAGTTTATATATTTTTGAGATACAAAGAAAATACATTAAGAATAATTCTATTTCTCAAAATATTTTTTTTTAAAACATGCATTCGAAATAATATTTTCGTTTCAGACCCAAGATGTTCCAATACGTGCCCAACTGGACAGAAACCGGATATTAACAATTTTTGCGCGTGTCAATGTACCAATGTTTGCGCTCGTGAACAGTTCACCGATCCCAGCAGAGGATGCAGCTGCCAATGCCCAAACGTTTGCCCTAGAAATCAATCACCTGATGTAAACAATCGATGCCAGTGTACCTGCAATGTTTGCCCGGTTGGACAGCGACCTGATGTTAACAATGATTGCAATTGCGTGTGCAACAATACCTGTCCATCTGGGCAGTTTGCCAGCACTGTCAATGGTTGTCAGTGCCAATGCCCAAACACTTGTCCAAATGGACAGATTGCCAGTGTTGCCGAAAAATGTCTGTGTCCTGAAATCTGTCCAAACTCATGTCCTAGTGGCCAAACACCAAATATTACCAAAAACTGTATCTGTTCATGTACAAATACATGTCCACCTAATCAGCGACCTAATCCAAACAACAATTGCATTTGTGGTAAGTATGTCAACTTATATGATGACATGTAAATGATGAGTGTCATTAATACTAATATAATTTTAAAATATTGTTGCCTCTGTTGACTTGAACATACAAGCCTTATTAAGTTTGAAAAAGAAAATTGTTTTTTTTTTTTAAAAATAAGAAACCAAATTTTATCTTTATATTTTGGTTACTGATTTATCCCTGTTTAGAAATATCGTCCATTGAATTATCTCAGTGGTCAGATACTAGCTTTAATCCGTATTTTAGTAAATGGATTTTGTGTGTCATGTGTGGTGAGATGTCAGTAATTGGTGCACAAAAATGAACATCTTTCCTGTATGCGGTGTGTCAAATAACTTTGCTTATTACATGAGAACATTGTGTTAAGTGTTCTTCCATGTTGCCAATTTGACAGCCGGGGAGATTAAAACCGACGACGACGGCGCCTCTGCTAGTATTGTTATAATTAAAAGTCAACTTTTATTAATTAAATCTTTAATATAATCTCTGTTCCATGCCACTATTTCAATGTCACATAAAAAGTAGTCATTTACATAAAATTCCTTGTCTTTGTATTTTCCAGAAGGAGTTTGCAACCTTCAGTGCCCGATCCCTCAAACACCAGATTTAACTTGCAGTAATTGTCGTAAGTTTAATATGCTAGTGCAACCTAATCATTTTTAATTTTTACAAGTACTTTAAAGCCTACGTCACAGTGAAGTTGGCTTTTCTTTCACGTTATCTCTAGTTGAGGGCAGGTTAGCTAATCACTTGTAAATCTGCATTTGAAATTATTTCAATTCATTTTGTGTGACTTGATAATAAAAATACTTCAAAATTTTTTTTTCAATGTCTCTTGACTTATTCTCCAAAACTCATACATGATTATTTTTTCCATGAATAAAAAAAATGGAATGATCACAATTTATACAATACATTTTCCCCCTTTCATTTCCACTCAGTGTGCCCAAGCTCCTGTCCAACTAATGCAAGACGATTCGGCGTTTGTGACTGTCAGTGCAATGACCCCAGTTTTGTATACATCAGCAGGACAAATACATGTGGTACTTCAATAAACCTGCAATTTTATAATTGTCCTTTTTAATAATTATATTCAGGGGTCAGGGATACCCAGCCAAGAGACAAACACCCCCAACCCCCAAAAAATTAAAAGGTATTTATTTCTTAGCAAATACATCGCAACAATCAATATTAAGTTATAAAGTCTCGGTTTATTCTCATGAATTAAAAAAATGAGAACTATAAATAATAGAACAATGAGTGATAGAGCACATGTAACAGCATATTTAGATAGCTTGTTTGACATGCTAATAAAAATGAGCACTCCTTTTGGCGATGATCATCATCATTATCGCCCCCCCCCCCCCCCCACCCCCCAATTTCTCAAAACAAATAGAATATTAAAATTGGGAAAGGGCATTTTCGCCCTCTACAAAAATGCCTTTTCCATAAGTTGTTGCTGGACTTAATCCCTGTTTATAATGTTTCCCCAAGTCAAATATGGTTGTGTGTTGGGTAGGGCTACATGTTAGAAAAATGTTTTATTGGTTCAATCAGTTAAGTTCTTTTTTTTATGTTATTGTTTATTTGGCCAATTTACAAATAGAATAGACATACAATATTATCTACAGGTTAAACTAATAGGGATAAATAGATTAATAGTGCTCAGAGAAAAAAAAACAACCTGATATTTAAAAATGTGTGCATAATCTATTTATTGTATCTTTAGAACAAATAAGCCCCACATGTCCAAGATCCTGCCCAAATGGTACTTTCCAGAATTTCGACTGTTCATGTAACTGTCCCCAAGGAACATCATACAATCAAACCACTAGTCAGTGTGGTAAGAACATTCTGCAGTTATGGTTCTCAACTAGTGACAAACTTTGAAAAGGCCTGTAAAACAACAAAAGCAACAATGCCTTAATTTTATATTCCAACCAAATTGTCAGAATATTTTCTTTTCAGTTTTAATCAAAAAAGTCTCAAATAAACTGGTCACATAATTAATCAATTAAAAGAAAATACATTAAACAATCATTCTGAATAAGGCGTAGGCGGCGTAGCTTTTTTTGACTAATTATTCTATTGCATTTGAGTTATTTGAGTATTAAAAAAGTGAGAGAAAAATAAAATTAATTTCATTTTCAATTCAAATATTAAGTTTTCAATTTTTTATCCATACAGTAGCTAGTTTTTACATTATATTTCAATTAAAATGTTTGATTGCATTTTTGTTGTGTAATACAATTTTAAATTTTATATTAACCTTTTAAGTAGGCCTTCATTAGGTCAATGTATTCTCCATCAGTTGATGTTGTCACCTATAACCAGTGCACAAGAGCAGAGTACTCATGTGAAAATAACCAAGTGGCCTACAAAGACTGCAATGGCCGCTGTTTTTGTGTTTGTGGATCTGGGTTTGCTGGGACCAGATGTGAGATTAAAGTCCAGGGTATGTAATTTATTATTTTTGTTTTTAATATCTAATGTAAATGCTGTACGCATTGACAGCTGAACTGACAGCTGAAGAAGATGTTCTCCAAAACAAAAGGAATGGCTAAATATAATGAAGGCTCTTTATGCTTAAAAAAATCTCATTCCATTATATAAATAATTATTAAAATTTAAAAAAAAAATTATAATCAATGAATTCCTTGAAGTCAGCTCATTAAGAAAAAACAATTAAAAAAGATTTTTTAAAATTTTAAATAAGAGTGATGTTATTTAAGGGTGTCAAAAGGTTCTATATCCAATCCAGTTCAGGTAAAAAGAATTCATTGAAATAACCAATCTAATTGGTGATCTAAATTGAACATGGTGAGAATGCTTATTATTTGGTTTTATAAGTTCTACATGCTACATATTTTCAAACATGAACAGTCATACTTCATTGCAGTTACTAAAATCACACATATCTATCATGAATTTTTTTTTTCTTCGCAATCAGCTGAACTTTGTGACAACTGCTTCTATGACAACGGACACTATCATTCTGGTGTTGTGGGATATTGTGATCTGTTCGTCAACTGCCTCCCTGTTGGTGAAGTTCCTAAAGACAGCCAAACCCGACCAGCATCATTCAGTCCCATTATTATGTCTTGTGCCCCTGGAACCTTCTACATCACCAGGCCCAATGGATGGAGAGGCTGTGATTTCCTGGCAAATGGAATCTGTTCCACTGGTTTGTTTAATATTGTAGGCCTCTTTAGCTTTGGTAACATAAAGACGTTTGGATTTTGGACACCACTGTCTTACTTTATTTGCTGGTTACACCTTTTTAAAAAGAAGCTTAGGCAACATATTGTGAAATGTGCTTAATAAATAAATCACAAATTTCTTATGGCACTGAGAAAAGGTCAAAGAGGTATAAATAATTGACTTGTTCAAATGCATGAAACCCTCAAGCAATGAATTTAATAGCTTTGAGAAACAATTATAATGGGACAATATACAGATTATTCACGCTCAATCTGTAATGTATCAGCAATATATTACAATTACAAATTTATTTAACAGCCCTCATTGTTAAAAATTGATTATATATATATATTCATTTAAATGAATGTTGAGAATCTGAATTGGCTATATGAATTGATTACCCTTGTTTTTTTTTGTATAATCTGGTTTAGACTTTCCCACAAAATTAGTTTTATAATAGTACATTACTATATAAGTATTCACATTATGGAGGTCACTTTTCTTTTAAATCTAGAAAACAAATTAAAAGATGAAATGATTTTCTAAAATTTGATATTATGATTTTATCATTCAGATTCTCATCTTCTCAAAATAATTTTTGTTTTGTTTTCTCAGATCAGTGCCAGACTCTTCCTCCTAATGCTCGATATGCTGACAGCACCTCATGCCAGAGTTACTGGCAGTGTGGAGCCAACAGGCAGCTGGTGAGTAAGGGTTGTTGTGACGCAGGTCAAGCTTTCGACCCCATGTCTCAATCCTGCGTCCGTAATGCAACCTGCCAAGTGACGTGTGGTCCTCAAGTAGCCAGATCATGTAACAATTCTACAGAACAACCACCAGGTGAGATGAGAGTAGTTCTGTAAATTAAATAACATTCATGAAATAACAGTTATGGAGTTACATCTTTTTTGGGCCTGTGTTTAAAATTATTTGTTAAAAGCTTATAAAAAATTTGACGACTTCAGCTCAAAAGTTTCCAAGAAATAAGGATTCTATCTCAGTTTTGAAGGAACATAACTGCAGAGCAATTTAAATACCAGTACTTGAGTTGGATTTTTTAAAATATTACTTACTCATCAGCCATTTTAATTTTCTGAATGATCCAAACACAATCAATCTGTTAGTTCTGTTACACTCACAAAGAATTTGGGTAAACATTCATATTCCCCGTGTTGTTATTCAGCTAGTTAAATAGAAAATTTAACTAAAAAAAAAGACACCTTTACATTAGGAGCAGTGTTTAATTTACATCAAGTATAAAGCAACTTTGATGTGATTAAATTTGGTATGCCATAAACTACTGGTGTTCTTAAATATTTAAATTAAACTTGTATTGTCTTGAGTAAATCAAAGCTTCCTGGATGTAAATCAACGTTTTGACAACTTTTTCCTTTTTCAGAAGCTCGTTGTCCTTTTGAAGTGACTGCTAATGATCCAAATGAGTTCTTCTACAAGGTAGTGCCATGGGCTAAATCCAGATGTTTGCCTACGGATGTGATGGACCTAAATCTGTGCCGCTGTGTGGCTGCAGTTAATTCTAAGACACTTGGTATATTTATTATTTATTATAACATTTTGAATAGTAATTTTTCGAAGCATCCTAATAATTTTTTTATATTTAAGTTTATAGTTTAATTGTATCATCCATAAGCCTACAGAGGTACCAAATGTCAAAAATGAGCTTAAATTTTAAAAAGAACAGGAATTTTCACTTCCCCACCTTCAGCTTTTTACTTCCTGTTAATTAAGTTTAAAAAAAAAAATTGTAGTCTTGAAAGAAACCAGCTGACAGTAGAAGTAACAAACATTCTTAAATTCAACAAACAATTTGTCAGCATTGCCCTATTTCAGCTATTTCTCCTCTAAGTTTAAGAAGCATGAATAAAATAAATACAGTCATTGTTCAACAATCATCAGATAACTAATAAATTGGAAAATTAGAGCTGCAAATAAAAATCTTAATTCTTATTGTCTACCGGTATCCTTATTTTTCTTGGCCAGGGTATGTCACATACTTTTGACTAGAGACAGAAAAAAGAATGAGAAAAATTGATTAGCACAAAATAGGATATGTTAAAAGTTTGAAGCTATAATTCTTTAGGTTTACACAAAAATATTGCCAAAATTCTAAATCACTTGGAAGTAAATCACCTTATAGTTAACAATTGAAAATGAAATGGTAATGAAAAGAAGCAAACAAACATAATGTTGAAGGACCACTGCTAATGCCATGGTTTTTAACATTTAAGTTTTACTAATGCTGAATATTTTATTGAATTATTATTAATTCTTAGGCTGTGTCCCAGTCATCAACTACAACTTTGATACTGCATCAACAAATGATGAAGACCGCATTCCCAGAATTCAAATATCTGGTGTCGGCCAAGTTGCAAACTTCTCTGTAAGTGAGCAGAGAAACAATGGGAAAACTGTATAATTTTAAAAATTAGATTCATTTTTCTTCCAAGGCCTTGAACTGTAACAGAATCTTTCATCATCCTTTTTAGCATCTAAAATAAAATAATTTTCTTAATGAAAGAAGAGTAATGTATTTCATCTTTCAAAGAAACATATAGGTCTAGTTTTTAAAATATAGATAATCATATTTTTGAATCAACTGTTTATCTTTAGGGTTCAGAAGACTTAACTCTGAAATACTTTGCTGGCTCCGGGTTCTACACCGACTACTTCCAAATCAACTTAAGATTGTTTCTGCCCAAACCACCTACAGGAAGTGGGAGAATTGCAGTTGTTACCAATGCTGATTGCGATGTCAAAGAATCCGTTTCTATTACTATGGACAACAGGAACTTTTATTTCAAGGTTACTTTGAGCAAAAAATACATTATTCGAAGCAGTCTCATTTAAGATCCTGCTTAAAGTAACTAATTCAATTAATTTATGTATTTGAAGTCATTAGTTTATAATTTGCTTTTACCGTTTCAATAGGTTGTAATTAACTCATTTGAACTTCAGCAAGTTAAAAAATGTTATTAAAGAAATTTAAGTTTGACATTTTTAGCATAGCATTAAGATATTAACAAATTAAATGTTAACTTCTTTTATTAATGTATTTCTTTCTTGTTTTTTCCAGATATTCCAACTAGATTCAAATGTGCCAGTTGAAATTGTTATACCTTACTCTGGCCTTGCTGACAGGGTAAGTCAAACCATCTGTTTGTGCAAATATCTAAAAAAAAATCTATTCTTGAAATAGTTGATGTGTACCGGTACTAATAATGTGTTGATGTGTATTGCAGATATGTTTTACAATTATAGTAGTTTTAAAAACACATTTTCCAAGATTTATTATATCTGCATTATTTAAATGTCATTGTGTAGAGCTTAGAACTACAACTAAAAGTAATAATTATTAGTGCTTTTATTGAGCCATCAAATAATTAATTAGCTAGGATTTGTTATGTTAAATCAAAACCAATAGAATATTATGTAACAAAATTCAACATGTTTCATTCGGTATTTCATATATTGTTCTTTAATCATTGTCTCTAGAATGGATGGTATGACATGACATTAGTCTACAAAAGAATCAACAAGAAATCATTTGAGTTCACTGGAAAAGTTGGAAGCTACACACAAACATACCAAGGCACTGTGCCCCTTACAGGTAATAAATACACTGACTGAGGTCAAGGTATTAGCTGAAAGATCGCCTTATCTATTATAAGATTGAACATAAGCTGTGTTAATAAACAAGTGTCTAAAACTACCCTAGAGAGATTCCAATCTAAACTGTGCATGGAGTATTTTTATGAATAAAAAGCTTTTATTTTTTATTTAAAGAATGTCCTAGAAGTGTTAGAAAGCAATAAAATTTTCTCACAGAATTTCGAGTTAATTTTTTACAAATAAAAATTCCAGCCATTATTGACTCAAGAACATGTGCCCTTCACCTTGGCTATGGTTTCAATTATACCAGTTTGGTCGGATATGTGGATGATGTAAGTCTTAAATTCTATTTTTTAAGGCAAATTTTTACAGACAAATACCAGCATTAGTTACTATATATAAGCATATATGGTGACTCATTTTGACTAACAGATGATAAATGTGGATGACTAAGATTTAGATACCATTCAAGCTAATCGGTGAGCTTAAGTAAAAACTTGCCATTTCAAAATAACAGAAGAAATTAATTCTATTTATAGAATAGGTGTAACTATGTTTAGAGTTACTCTGCTTTGGAAATAAAAAAACAGTGTAAAAAAAATAATATTTTTTTGTTTAGTCAAATAAAAAAAAAATGATGCAGCCATTTTAATTTCTAAAATTTCTCTAATGAAAATAATTTCCAGTAATTTTCATTTATACTCCAATTTAATTTCTTTTTATCCGCAGTTCCAAGTCTGGCGATGTGACCCCAATGCAGGAGTCATTGGATGAACATGATACTGTGTTCATAGCCTGAGTTTTCATAGAAATTAAAAAATCAATACAACAAAATATAAAAAATATTTTTTTATGGTGGACTGATTTCTGTGATTGTAATTTTTGTTCTTAAATATTAGTAGGGTATTAATATAAAGAAGACCCATGCCACCAATTCTTCTTGATCAGTGCATACAAACAAAATGAAACATTTAATCATTTCCAGTGTAATTAAAATTGTACCAAACTGGGTAATTTTTATATATGTTTTAGTTTCTTCTACATTTAGTTTTCTCCTAGTCATAAAATGGATTGCAAAATACTGTTTACTCTTCTTTATTGAGTTACTGGAAAAATCAGTTGTAGGAAATATTCAAGTTAGTGAACCTGTTTTATCATAGGCATATGAGAAACAAATCTTACAAAATTGTTTAAAGAAGTTTATGTTCCACAGAGATTGGGGGATGATTATATCAAGATTGCTGGATCAGTTTGTACATGATATCCCCACTGAACATCTTGGTGTTTTAATGTAACATGGTGTGTCTGAGAATAAAACTTTTGTTTTGCATGGACACTAAAATCAAAATGTGCCATAATTTGCTCTTTTTTTTTTCTGGTAAAAAGTAAATTTAAAAATATGTGCCTTTAAGATCTTGTATCCCAACATAGCGATGAATATTTTTCTTGTGATTTTGTTGTCTCTAAATTTTATATTTTAAGTGATTTATGCTTTAACATTTCAAGTCTTTGCATGGTTTTTTTTATTTACACAGATGTATAGCTCATGGCAAACGTTTAAGTTTAACAACAAAAAATTCTCAATCTGGTGATTTTTAGGAAAAAGATAAGTTATTTAAACTTTAAATTATTTTTGCTACTTTAGTTATTTATATAAATTTGTCATTAAATTATAAATCATGGGAGATTTATCTTACACAGTATGGTATATTACCTTGCGATTTGCGCTTCAACTGCTGGTAATTTGAAGGTTGTAAAATTTGAAGATAATAAAAATTGTCTCATACTCATACCCTTTCTACTTTTACATCCGATACTTCTTATCCAGTACTTGCAATATCTACTTTAATTTTTGTCTCTGGAGGAAATACACCAAAATTTCACAAGAGATTATAGTTTGTTTATTCATTTATAGCTATTTCAGAAGATTCCCACTTTCTATTAAAATCACAAAATTATATCTTATGGCCAATGTTCTTATTCAGGATGAATAATGCATTAAGTTTCTATTAATAAAATGGGAGCCACTTTGCAAATGATCCAAAAAAACTTATACAAGTACAAGTTTGTTTTTTTTTTAATTAAGCCCCTGTCGGCCTCGAAATGTTTATCAAACCACTAAAAACGAACCCAGCAGCACTATGAAATACTGCTTCTTTCATAAAATGTTCAGAGCTAAAATTTTTATACACAATAAAACAAAACTGCACATCTATACACAAAGAAATTAAAACACAGACAATTATTTATTCGTTCATGTCACATTTCTTCTCTTTTAGCTGTCACCAACACAAGATTGGCAATAATACATCTGTTAAACTTTTACATAACAATATCTGTTTGAGTTTTATAATCAACAACAAAACATTTCAGCCATTCACAAGGAGCAATAATTTCTTCTAAATTAATTTTCTTCCATTGGACAAAGTTTGGAAAACAAAAAAAATATTTGAAAGCTCTACTAACAATTTAAGTAACTTCCGTTCTTAAGCTAGTTAACAGTTTTACTTAAATCATAATCAAATCTTAAATAATGATTTCAATGATTCTTGTAAAAGTGAGGGATTTTAAAAAACCTGTTTTTGGAATCGATTGTAAATCAAAATGTGTTGTAGATTTAACTTATTGTACAAGCATTTATTAAAATAATCTGGAATTTTACAAAAATCCCTTCATAAAAAAAATAATTGAAATAATGTTCCTGTATTGATTAAATCTCATTATTTAATAACAATGCAGATAAAAAGAATTTTATATCATATTTATTTAGACAACATGTTTTTAAAATAAAAAAATTATTACGGTGACCATGTGCACACATACATGAAATAACACCATTTTGATTTGATTATTTCATTAAAATAATTTCTCACCATTGACTTCAGGCATCTTCACAAAAAAATTATTTTTTTAAAAACAGGAGAAAATTATGCATCTTCACCATATCAGGCATGTTTAATGTTGCACAGATGCTTACAGTAACAAAAATAATTTCTCACCATTGACTTCAGGCATCTTCACCATATCAGGCATGTTTAATGTTGCACCGATGCTTACAGTAACAAAATAATTTAAAAAACATGCTTCATTTCTATTATATGTCAGCATATCTGCTAAAGGTTCTCGTGTGTGATACTTTTACGGCAACCTACCATTTACACGGTTTATTTACTACTTAACTGTATAATGTAATGTGGTTCACAAATTGTTTTGAATTCCCACAACTGTATAATTTACATGTGGTTTTCCCAATTCAAATCTTTGTCTGTGTCAAAGTCAAATATAGCACAGCATGACAATAAATTAATAAACTCTTTCACTAAATTCTCAATAATTCAGACTTTGTTAAATCAGATTTGGGATAATTCTGATGCGGTTAATAAACTATAAATCATAATTCTCTAGGTATGTAAGTATGGCTGTAACGCCGTGTTCCATAGGTGCGCAAAATGAAATTCACAGAAGTTATGACTAATTGAAGTACTTGAGATAGTTTGGGATTAAATTTGACAAAAATTCCAATTTGTCTCTCATACCATAGTTTGCGTCTCAAATACCAGGGTTTTATAAAAAAACAAACAACTTGGACACTGTCATCTTTAACAGACAAAGTCCCAACAATGTATCCTCTAATTTATATCAAAACTGCGTTACAATTCAGTCAGAGTATATGAAACAACCACTAGAGCACAACTATGAAAATGTCAGGATATTCTGGTTTCATGGAAAAAATCCTTATACATTAACATTGGTTCTTATACATAAAATATACTTTTATTACCTTTTTTACTTGGTCATTTGTATCACAGACACAGAAATCCTAACTAAATTAAGGTGAAATGGAAAGTTGACAGCAAGAAATGACAAAGAGAAACCACCTTACAATGTAGAGTTGTAATAAAGCCATCAGAAGCGAGCGTCCCCATTTAACGGCTAATCCTAACTCATAAAGAAATAACATCCCTGTCGTCAGTTTGCTTCACCAGTTTCGATTTCCTGCTCGCCTCCTTCCTTCAAGTTTTGCTCGTAGGTCCACGCCGCCCATGGGGGCCTCTGTCCTTTGAGATCTTGATTTATCAAATCCACTGCCGATTCTCTGTTGTAACGTCTTATCCCTTCTGTTGTCTGTGTGGCTCCTATGCCTCTGTTTGTGACTGATGTCATCATTTTCATTATCAGATAACGCGTAATGTGGTGGAGCCGCCTCGACTTTTGCAGTCCCGAAAAGATTAAAAGGGTCATCGTCTTCAACATTGTCATAATCGACCCATTCCTTTTTAACCGGGGCATATTTTTCTTCTTCGACCACTTCCTCTACTTCATCTTCTTGGTATGCATCTAAATCATGCTTGGGCCATTTCTTGGTTTCTTTTTGAATTCTTGCCAACCTGAAACAATTTAAAAAATTTAAAAAGTGTGACAAAACAATAATCATCGGCCATATTTTTATTCGGAGAGAAATTTACTTTTAAATGGCATACTTCATTTGGCAAAACGTTAGAGCTTGAATTTCTTATAAATATGTAAGTATATTCTAAGAAAAAAAAAGACAACCAATTGAAGTTTTAAATGCAAATGAAAATATGTCACAATTCCTGTATAATGACAATGACTGAAGTAAATGTTTTGGTGAAGCCTGTTCAGATAGTGTTTACTGTAACTCTGCGATAAACTGTTTGATCCAATAATGCCAGAATGAAAATATATATGAAAACTATAAAAGCCATGATTCACTGGTATATAATCAATATTGGACCTTATGTTCCCACTTAATTGTTTTTTTAAACTTTCAAATCATATATATTATAAGTAGTTAAAATAATTTTCTTAATATTAGCTCTAGTCATAAAAAGTAGACAAGTTATCAAGACACTTATCAACTGCAAACACAAGAGTAGAGTTTAACAACACAATGGAAGATATTTACCGTCTGGCTCTCTCAATTTTTTCCTCCTCGTCATCAGCATGCATGCGCATAAAACGTTTCTTGATTGGCGGTGGGTTGTCCCCCATTAGCCTCTCGAGCTCTGCCCCATAATCCATTTCATCATCCGTATCCTGGTGAGCATCATCTGGTTGGCCTACGAAAAGAAAAATAATAAAAACAACAATAACATTTAAACAACATTCCATAAAATGATATCGTTTGATGATACTTATCTATCAGTTGCATTCATTGTAGTGGTTGCCTTTTAACTGTGGTAGGGGGTTGTTTGAAAATAACTTGACTCTTGTATACAAATTTTTTGTTTGCAGCAATCCAACTCAAGTGGGATGATGGTTGTAGTCTGACTAGAAGTGGCAAATGCTTAATGCCCGGGAGGGGTGTTCTATGGGAGATGAGCTGTTTCCCAGTCAGAAATCCCTAATCTCGATTCAGCTGGTGAACCCAAGAGAATACGAAATCAAAAACTCAGCTTGCCACCAGGGAAGCGCCATTGAGTACAATGGCATACCGCCTACAAGATGCCATCTCTGGATTTTTCTGTCCGAGTTTTACTCCCTTAGATGAGGTTGACAAGTCCCATCTTCCTGGTTTTTCTGTTATTGTGATGTTGGTCCTCTGTGTGTATGTCTTGTCGAGGTGTTGATAAACTTGACCACAAAACCACAGCCATAAAGTAGTTTTGTCCAGGTGTTTATACACTTGACCACACAACCACAGCCATAAAATAGTTTTGTTTAGTCCAGGTGTTGATACACTTGACCAGACAGCCCAGGTGATAAACAGTTTATCTTATAGTTTTATTTATTCTTACTTTTGAATTTTAAACAAATGTTTAAAAATTAAATTTTCATGATATTTTTCAACCATCAGCAGGAATGATATATTTGTGAGTATTTGTTGATAGAATTGGTGAGAGAAAAAAGATAACTTTAAACAAACGCTAGTCAAAACAAATCCTCAAAACCAAACAGTTGATTATAGATCTACTATCAATCAAATTTACATCCTCGAGGACTTTTGTCCACTTGCTGAGACAAGAAAATGCAGGTAAAATTTGACCAGCTTTAATCAAACAGTCTAGGTGTGAGAGTGTCACTGGTTCTGCACACACACACATTAACCTGCGGGTGTCCTGGCTCAGGTGCTGACATCCAACTCCTTTCATTGACTCTCAATACAGCTCACTGGAGTGCTAAACCTCCTACAGGGCCATGCTAGGTTCTAAGTGGATGGTTTAGGCAAAGAGAGAGGGGTTTGATTTGTTGTATTTAACTTCCCTTCTCCTTGTTAAATTTGCAAACAGCCCTCCCTCACCCCCCCCCCTTTTTCCACACACCAATGTTGAATCTACTACTCCTTGCCCAAATACCAGGCCAATAAGGATGGGCTGGTAACAGTAAGAATGGGCTGGTAACAGTAAGGATGGGCCGGTAACAGTAAGGATGGGCTGGTAACAGTAAGGATGGGCTGGTAACAGTATCCTGGATAAGGCTTCCCAAAAGGTTTGGGGTTGATGATGACCTGACCCAACCTTGGGAAACATGCAATGTGGAAATGTTATATCACTGTCTGTTTCAATGTCAATGCAACTATTTCCAGCATTAAATATTGCTTTAATCCCCTTTATGCTATTCTTGAATGATGACAGTTATTGGTAATGTAAGATCCTCATTTTCAAATCCTAACAGTTTTCAATATTATGATGAAAATTTTTGGAGCACATTTAATAATGTTTTTTGGGACATGATGCAGCACACCAAGTGTTACAAATTGTTGCCCCCATATAATCTTTGATTCTTCAAAATCACTTAAAAAACTGATTTACATTTAATATTAATTTCAGTAATATATTTTTTTTTAAAAAGTTTTTCGTCTGTCTCGCAAACACAAACATAAGGCAACAAACACCCAGGCAAATCTGATGCCTTTAAATGGAACACAATTTATATTCAAATAACTCTAAGAAAAAAAAATATTTATCTTAAACTAATTTTTTTAGCACAAGTTGTTTTACATTGGAATTGGTAATTTGGCTTTGGGTTAGAATAACTAATTGTTTTAAGAAACCAGTGTTGCAAACGGCTTAAATAAAAAAACTTTCATTAATTTCATATAGATTTTTTTTTTATAAAAGCATAAGAGAAAAAAAAGAAAAGCTGCAGCATTTCAGTGGTAAAGCCTAATGGAGACGAACAAGGCAAGAACAGAAAACTGTTTGTAGGTAGCAGCAGAAAATTTAAAAAATAATTAAAAGAAAGCTAATTCCCCCCCCCCCAAAAAAAAAAAAAAAAAAAAATGAGCCTAAGGGAATTTAATTTTAGTGACAACGTGGTATTCATAAAACTAGCCCTTTGTCAAGATTATTACAATGATTTTCTTCAAAATTCACAACTATGGCTAGACCTATCACTTCTAATCATTTATCAGGCAATTTTTACATCAGGTCAATTAAGAACATGAATTAAGCTATAAAGGTACTTTACAATGCAGATTATTTCTGAGATTCTCAACCGGATAGACCTTTGCAATACAATTCCTGAGATTTCTGAGACTTTGTGCTACTCGTAACAAAAACGGGGCCAACAGGTTTCATTTTCATGGGTTTGATGAATGTTGCTGGCAATATACAAAAACAATCCCAACACATGTTTATCAATGCACAAGCGTCATCAGAGGATGCGTTAGTAATAGAGCAAATGGTCGAAAATGAAGGGGTCACACAAAAAAAGAGCAACACAATCAATTTATTATCAGCTGACTGGTTTACAAATTTTATAGTTGTATTCAATAGCCACATAAATTTTGTAGTTCGAAGACTAAAATTTGTGAAATAAATTTCAAGATTGATTTTATTGGAGTGGGCAAAACAAGAAAAGATTTTGGAGGAACCATGTCTCGTTTTTAAAAAATGGATTGAATTAGAGTTTTTGTTTTTATTTTACATTTTAATTTTCCTGTGCATTGTATTGGTAAAATGATAGTTAAAAAGAAAAAAAAATCCAAATTTATTCAAATAAGGGGCCATCCATAAATTATGTCACTCAATTTTTTAATAATTCCCCAGTCACAAGTCTCAGGCCCCCCCCTTCCCACAAAGTAAAAATTTTCAAACCACAAAATTGCAACAAAAATTATAAATAATTAAAATTTAATCTAAAACACTTTTGTCAGAATACACCCATCACAAAAGAAATAATCTCAAGATCACTGTCAATGTCAGTTTTTTTAAATAGTCTATATATGATTTTTAAGATCTTCCCTTTTTTTGAACCCAGCCCTCCGGAGCGTGATGTACTTTACGGCCCTTAAAGAGTTACATGCAGCCCCAGGATGCTGACAGTTGCGCTAGCACATATTAGTACATATAAATACAAGTTTTTCAATTTTTGTGCCTGCTCAGTGTGAACACCTGTGTGAGATATCCTTATCAGCTGGAGATTGTAAACACTGAATGTCAGTGGATTTTCAACATGGATTCACCATTGAGCTTTGTGGCTGCAACAAGTCTGCACTGTGAACACACCTTAAGAAGCAATCAGATTTTCTTTTTTTTTTTTTTTTTTTTAAAACTACCCACCTGCTACAGAACTGACAGCCACAACTTTTTTATTGAGGACGTCCCTCAAATCTTTCCCTTCCTTCAGTACCGGCTGCTCTTCGTCCTCTTCTACTTCCCCCTCCTCAAAGTCCTCCTCATCTGCGCTCTTTCTGTTGGCCTTTCCCCGAGTTCCCAGACGACCTGAAAGCCTAGATTGAACAGTGATTGGCTCTTCTTCTTCATCCCCTTTGAACATGTCAGGCACATCAGAGTAAACTTCTGCTGCCTCTTCTCTGTCAGAGTGACGTAATCTTCGTTTTCTGAAATGTAAAGTTGAGAGATGTGGTGATGGACAGAGGATTTAATGTGAGAATTAGAATTTTAATGTGTCTTAAACCTTTTTTTGTCCAATAATGAACTTTGTACATTGCATAATTAAAGAAAATTTGATGAGCACTAAACAAAGCATGAAAACAATTTTATTATTTTAACAAGTGTTACTAATGTATTCTCAGACTCTGATTTATTTATTATTAAAAATAAAGGGTTTCATAGGACCATTTTACTACAAGAATAGCCTATGAATTAATTTCTGCATTAACATTTGAATGAAATGACACATTTAAAATAGAAGATGTTAAAAAAAAAATTTAAAAAAAAAAAAAAAAAAAAAAAAAAAAAAAAAAAAAAAAAAAATAAAAAAAAAAAAAAAAAAAAAAAAGAGAGAGAATTAAATAAAAAGGGTTTTTTTTTTTTGTTTAACTTGAGTTTGTGAATAAGCCTTTGATACCCGAGGGTCAGGAAAAAAAAAAGCAAAAATTAATTGAAAGTGAAATTAAAAAAAAAAAAAAAAGGTAAAAAATTGATGGGGTTCAGCAATTTTTTTTATTAAAAAAAAAAAAAAAAAAAACAGATGCTGTAAATAAAAAATAAAAAAAAAAAAAATAAAAAAAAAAAATAAAAAAAAAAAAAAAAAAAAAAAGAGAGAGAGACTTAATATAAAAGGGTGTTTTTTTTATGTTTACCTTGAGTTGCTGATCAAGCCTCTGATACCTGAGGGTCAGTAAGAAAACAAGCATAGATTAGTGGATAGTGAATCTAAACATAGAAAGAAATGGTAAATAATTGATGGTGTTCAGCAGTTTTCTTTATTAAAAAAAAAAAAAAAAAAAACAGATGCTGAACAGGTCGTGTTATTGTGATAACTTAGTCATATTAGTGGGACATAACATTGTCTTATGTTTAGTTCTACCAATTAAGGAAGGACAAAATACTGATATTGAGGGACTTTAATAACAACAGTTTCGTATTTTATATTAAATTTAAATTTTTAATCTAAAAAAATATACCAGAAGAATGTCACAAATAAAAATGTATTCCTGAACCTGTCACTGGCAAATATTTTAAAATGTATAAACCAGAAAGTGCTCCCAGAAAGTTTCTTCCAATAAAACAGTTTAAAAATTACTTTAAAAAATGTTTCTTTCACAACACCAATGTCATGGGAAAAACTTCCGCATGACAAGTGAAACTCTGGTGTGGGTAATGTAAAATGCCTCCAAAATGAGGCATGCACAATTCATATGAATTGGAGTCCCCATTCACAAACAATTAATTTTAGTTTCATTTTTATCTAAGAAAGGTGGGGGAGCTATTTCAAAATGAGCCAGTGGTAAAAAAATAATTTTGCATTGAATACCTCAGCCTTGAATATAAAAAAAAAATTATGTAAGGGGATGAAATTTAAGAGGGTCTAAAAGGCTGTTTTGACCCCATCAGCCAGAACTGAACTCACTAGTATGAACAAAAGTCGCAATGACTTTAACAATACATTGATCATGGTCCCTCAAAATATAGAAGAAGAAGATCCCTGCAGGCATTAAGTATAGACAGATGTACAAAACAAATATCTTAGGTGACATACCTCCAAAATTAGGATTCCCATATTTTTGGTAATATTTACTCCTTTTTTCCGCACCAGGGACCTTTTTGTCAGCTGGAAAAAGAAAAAAAGTAAGAACCCTTTAAAATCATAATAAATAGACTTAGAAGGATGACAACTGGACGCACGCAGTTAAATTAAATGTAAACATGTGTATCTTTGGAAAGTATTTTTAAAAAGACAAACATGATTTTTTTTTCAAAAACAAAACTTTCAAAAAATGTTGGTGTCTACAGATGGTGAAATGTAAAAAAAAACTTGATGCTTAAGCAAAAATTTAAACCAATACTTAAGTATATTTTACCTTTCATTGCATATCTCATAAACAAATATTCCGCCTTTGGATGCGGCTGCCCAAGACGCCACCACCCAGGAGGCCAGGGAATTTCACTTTTTTCACGTGATGGGGGTGGTACTGGGGGCGCTTCAGGTTTCTTTACCGTTTTCTTGATGGCTCTTACTTGATCTCTTTCAGAGCGGGTCTTTTTCTGGAATTGTATTATTTATGTATGAACATGAACCCTTGTATGCCCCCCACCCACCCCCCAAAAAAAAATTAAAAAAAAAAAAATTAAAGTGCACTTACTAGAAGTACCCAGATAGTTTAGACACAGACACTTTGAAGAATATGAACAAGACAAAATTACTAGATTATTGTTAATTCCTATCACTATGGTGTATGTACACCCCACTCTTTTTTATTTCTCCTCCCCCCACCCACTTAATAAACAAAACAAGATTTTTGTTGTGAGTGACTTTACCAACAAGAGTATATCAAAAAAATTGAATATAATAACACTGTCAGGTGTATGTTTTGAATTACTAAGGAATTGTTAAGTTTACAATAGAATTGATAGGGATAGTATAGAATAAAATTATTGCACGACACACCTTTTTCTGTTTGCTGTGAGTGGACGATGCTGATGAGGACGATGATGATGATGAACTTGCTGATGACCCTGACCCGAAATCAGAGTCTGACCCAGAACTGGAGCCTGAATTAGACGAACCCGAGGATGATGACCCTGATGAAGAAGATGACGAGCTGCTGTCAGATTCTGAGCCCCCATCCGTCTCCATTTTCTTTGGAGTCTCTCTTTCCTTTATTTTCTTCTCACCTTTTAACCCCTCTTTCTTATAATTTGAGTGTGTTTTTGAGTCAGCTGTTGCTTTATGGTTTAATGAGCTGCTTTCTAACACTTTGTCTAACTTTTTATTGTCAACTGGTAAAGATTTATGAACAGTCTTTGAATCTTTGTCTTTAAAATTATGTTTTGCACCATCATCTTTGCTTGAATCATCCACCTCCTTCTCAGAAATTTTCCCAGATAACCTTTCCTTTGCAGACAGTGTTTCGTTACTGTCCACAGATTTCCTCAGGGCTGTTACTGAGGCACGCTCAGCCCTCTGCTTTTTGTTTTGGGTGAAGTTAGACCAAGTGGACAGGGCCTGGTCTATTGGGTCATCTCCTGTCAGATCTAGGTTATCATCGTAGTCCAGCTCCATGAGTTCCTCTTCATGAATGTTCAAAACGGGTTCTTTAGTTATACTTTCTGCTGGCACATTGTTCTCTGTGACAGCTGTCTCTTCAACTTCAATGGGGACGGGTTCTAATGACTTTCCGTTATCTTTAACATCAGCGTTTATTGTGCCCACTTCCTCCACTGTCTTGTCACCTACAAAATAATAATTAAGTATTGTTTAAGAGATGTGTTTTAAATCTATTTGAGCCAAGTCAAAAAAACTGTTTAATCAAAGACAGAACTTTTTTTAAAAAAGATAAAATGGTTTTTATAACTAATTTAATTTAACAACTATTATCATTCAAAAAAAAAAGTCTAAAAACATATGATTCTTAATGTTCCACTTGAGAATGTTGAATGGGTAACAATGCAAGCTTAAAAAAAACAGGAGTCGCTATTAGGAAAATACACATTAAAATTAATTACTCTCACAGAGCTATCAAAAAATTGTTCAAAATTCATACTCATACAACTTCTTTTAATTTAATTTTGAACACATTTAAGGCAAAAATAATCTCCCACACTTTTGACCCAAAATTTTGAAAAGTAAAAAAAATTGCTGAGCATACAGGTATATTAAAGTTTGCTTTATAGCTTACCCATCAGGTCGTCAACAACCTTTTCTGCTGTTTTCATCTCATCATTACTAGAGCTCAGTTTTATAAGTGCTCTGGCTGGAGTCAGCTTGTCCAGCCAAACAACATTACCTGCAATGATGATCACAAGGACATAAAAATATCACCCTCCTATGATGACTAATTATTATATAGACATAACATTTCATGAGAGAAAAATTTTATAATAAAAGTAATAATATTAAAGGAATATCTTTGCTTCGAAATGTTACATCTTTTTTCTTAAGGCCAATCCATGTGACGAATCTTATGATTGTTATACTCAATACTGGCACTTTTGTCTAGCTTCACTGCCACAAAGTCATGCTTGGTCCACATTTAAGATTAACAACCAATGTTCGATGAGAGAAGATATAAAAATTCTTTATTTTGACAGGCACTATCAGTTCACAAAACGTCCGCTATTCTGACAACACTGGCTCATTCTGACTCTCTAAAACATCAATTAGCACACCGCCTTTTATAACTCTACACAACAAACACTCAGCATACACTAACTCAACACCATGAACCATCTTCAGGATCTAACCTCATGTCCTACACCTCACAAAATCTCTCAGATCAACAACTCCCCTTCCAAACATTCACGAACCCTAAATCTAGTACACAACAATGAGCTAAAAATAATAATAATAATAAAAATGTTCACATTTTAAACTTAAACTCATGAGGCTGAACAGTGGAATGGTTTTGGATGAAGTGAATGGAAATAAATAAATTAGTTGAATATCATTGTCTGCAAACATATGAATTATTCTTCTAAAAGTAATGAACCCTGGCATGACATTATGTGCTGGACTATGGAGGTTTTTTTTTTCAGTCATCAGTGTAAACATTTGTATGATCTCTGCTGCAACATTTGAGTCCAATAGGGTTGCGGAGAGTCAAGATAAATAGTAAGATACCATAAAACTAATCTGCCTTCTGTTGTTTTTTTTTTAATCTTCAGGGTTTTTTTAATGTGAAACCAAGGGACGTATAGGAAATTAACTTACATGAAAAGTCATCAATCCACTCCACTCCCTTTGGCGCATACTCAGAAAAATAGTCAAAGACATCAGTGGTGCTCATGTTATCAGTTCCTCGTAGCAAGATGGCCTCCATTCTCCATCCACGAGGGTCCTCATCTAACCTCTCTATATTCATACCCAAGCTAGAAAAAAATATTTAATTGACAATTTGAATTTTTTTTTAAGATAAAAAGAAAACAATTAGTTCAAATTTTAGTGACCATTTTCAAATATTAACTACTAATCAAACCATTGTAAGATGGTTTAATAATATCCTATTAACAAAGAAAAGATAACAACCACTTGGAAGTCTAAAAAACTAAAACGGGATTGCGACAACTGGTTGGGCATGAACTTCCTGTTGCTTACAAGCCAAAATTTCTGTACTGTTATACCACAAAGAATAATATAGCCTGGAGAAAAAACTCTGACAGGCCTTGCCAGTTGATGAAAAGGAGCTCTTGCATAGATCATATATTTTTTTTATTAGTTTTAAGGAAGATTTTAGAGCATGTTCATGAGTGGAATGCGACTGCGTGGATCATTTGGGACAACTTTGAGAAAGCTTTTGACATCAGAACTGGCTTTAAGGTAATATCCGCCAATGACAAAATTTCATTTCTCAGCTTCGTAGTTAACAGCTGCTAAAGCATCCCACCTTATAATCTATTTGATTTCTTAGCACAGTTTACCTTTTGTAAAGATTCTTTATGTCTATGTCTGTAATAGGTTGCTTTGGTGTACTCAGTGTGCCAAATTTCATTGCCCTCTTCTTCCAATTCTCAGAGGCTTCCTGTATACAAAAAAAAATATATCAATGGTTAGTTATTGTGAAGGAACAAACATTATTTTGCAAAGGTAAAATTCACTTGAATTATCATAAACTGATTTTGAAATTATTTCTAGATGAACAGTTTTTCTATACACTTAGCAACTTGAAATAATTGTGTGATACAAAAAGTAAACTGATCATCCATTTTTTCCCAAGAAGAAACAATCAAATTCAAAGACAGAAGAGGCAGAAGAGGTCTCTGTATGCATAGACCACAAATTCACTGGTAAGTGAGAGCAGATGTGAGAGATGCCTAAATCTTTTTCTGTTTTTTAAGTAATGTTAATACATATTAAACACACCTTGATTTCATGAAATGTTTAAACCCTCACTTGTAAGAAAACAGGTGTGTTATTATGTGGACTCTTACCCTTTTAAATGTCATTAACTTACAAGCCATTTTTATTGGTAGTACACATATTCAAAAAACATTTTACCGATCATCATCCCATACAGAATTTTTATTCAGTTACAATGTAATTTATTTATTAAAATGTTTCATTGCCTATAACCAAACAAGATAAAGGTAACATAGACGACAACGCCATTCATATTTAACTTTTTAACTTACCTCAAACGTCACATCCACGCCAGTCACAAAATTGCCAGATTTGTTTTCATAAAATTTGGGCTATTAAAAATTTTTAAAAATACATAAAAATTTGTATCTTTTAAATTTGTCAAATATGTATAATATTGAGAGGGGGGAAATAAGTAATATCATAATATGAACAAACTCATTCATGAACATGTTGACGGACAAGATTAGGAGAATATTTCATTTTGTTAATGTTTATTGTAAATGTTAGGGGCCATCCATAAATGACATGAATTTTCGGTGGGGATTGGGGGGTTAACATACTTGTCCTGATGTATTATGAGGGAATTTTTTACTAGGAAATTTGTGATAAATTTGTTACTAGGGCTGGGGCCAAAATAGTATAACATCATTTATGGATGGCCCCTTAATTATTGCAATAACAAGTCACAATGTTTTAAATAAACTGACATTTCTATCAATTGTATGTCTATTAGCCTATTACATTTTTAACATCATTTATCTACCCATTAATCAGGCCAACCCTTTTTTAGAATAATGGTATTTAATTTCCATAATATCATTAACAGCTTCGATTAATTTAGCAGTGATTTTAAATAGGCACTAAGCATTTTTAATTAACTGAATATGGACTAGCTTATGGACAATCTATTCTGAGCCGTCCAAACTTTTAGTTTTAATTTCAAGAAATTAATGGGTAGACCGAAATCTAATTGATTACTAGCTGCCAACCTGATTTTGAAACATTTTTCAAGAAGAGCATCAAAGTCAAAGAAAGAAAAGGTCTTTGCTTTAGACTAATTCAACTTTTTGTGGGGTATTTTGACAAAAACTTCAATTTAATGACTTGTTTTAAGCACTTCGGTAAGGCAAGGGAGATTAGTATTTTAGTATTTGTATCGGAAAGGGGCTTCACTACAAATGCATCCGACTCTTTAATTTTTAGACAAAGGTGCTTTTTCATTAGTGAAAGGACTATTTTGTCATAAAAATTGGTATCCTTCACAGGTTAACAATAGTAGGCATCTTGGCCTACATTTCCTTTGTACTTTTTTGCCCTTTCAATCGACCCTAATTTTGAAAAAAAAAAATTAGGAATATATAAGGCATCTTTCCATAAATTAATTTTGAAGACATTATATGACAAAGTCTTCCATATAAAATTGAAAAGCACTTTATTTATGTATATGTGTGCCAAATCTCATTGATGTAATTCATGTCCAACGTTCAATATGCTCATTCCGGTAACAAGCATTATCAAAAGGTCTCTCAGCCCAGTAATGTTTAGGTTGTGACCAAGCCCCTCTTTTAAATTGAGGAATATGCCAATACTTATGTATTCAATTATAACTACTATTTAAATTATGGTAATCTTGCAGTTCAGATGTGTATATTATTTCTGATCAAATTTCGTATTACCACTTGTAAACTTATGTGTATTCTTTATAAAATTTATCCAGACAGTATTAGTTAACTCTAACACTAAATTGTACAGCACTAATCTATTTTTTATTGATTTTTACGGCCCACATTGGTACATAGCCGGGAGCGTAAACGATCTCTCCATATTCTTGAGGTTTTTTTTTATTCACCCTACATGCCAGAGTGCAATTTTTCAACTGAAAGCACATTCCCAAAAATAGGCCCCAAAATTTAGATGTTAGCTAAAGGGCTTTTAAAGATGTTAAATTCCGAATGCCATCACCAGCTACACCGTGTATATTGGCTAGTTTTAGGAAAAATTAAAATTGTTTTTGAATATGGATTATCAAGTGTATGTGTATTAAGTTATATCTCGTTCCATTCACCCATGCCCATACCCCCCCCCCCATCTCATTCTTTTTGTGAACATGCCTACAGTTTGAAAATTTCGTTTAGCATACCAACTTAGGTGATCAAAAATCTGGCAACAGGGTAAAAAATACAAAACAAATGGAGCTATTGAAGGTTTGGGGATGCTCAAATACACTTTAGAAATGAAATAATATGAAAATAAGCATTGTATAATTCAGTATTAGTTAACTATCACTGCCTAGTTTAATTTAATGAAGAATACACCTAAGTTTACATGTGATGAAACGAAATTCAATAAGAAATAATATACACACCTGAACTGCAAGAGTACCTAAATTATTTACATCAATATGTTTGATAAATAGTGTGTGCAAATGAACTTAGAAGACAATCAAACAATATTTTTTTTTATTTCATGCTTAAAATGTTGGAGGAGTCATTCAAAATTATCAATATTTGCAGTGGGCAACCATTCTGAATCACATCCACTTGCATGCAGCTATACTAAAATTTTCTTTCATAAGAGATATTCGTGTGCAAACACTATTAAACCATAGGTCAGTCAGGGAAAGCTTTAATTAATTAGACATGTACAAACCTTAAACTAGATACTTCGGTAAAGCAAGGGAGACTACTTTAAAATTTGTATCGGAAATGGGCATCGGCTCAGTAAAATCAGACGTTTTAATTTTTTAATGAGAGTGTCAATGAGTCCTTTTGACATATAATTGAGTTCCGCTTCTGCCTTTTCACTTTGGAACACATCTTGGCCTACATTTCCACCCAGCTATTTTGCTTTTTCAATCGACCTTTATTTTTAAAATCTTTTGTATATGTAAGGCCTCTTCACATACAAATTTTTTTAGTGAAATAAAAAGAAAAGGTCTTTCACATTAAAAAGTGTAAAGCATTAGATCTTGAAGTATACGTGTGCCAATTCTCATTGATGTAGGTCATGTCATGTCCGACTTTCACTATGCTTGTCCCCTAGACCCACATTACCATAAGGTTGCTCGGCCTAATTTTGACATGTCGTGGGCCATGCCCCCTTTTTAATGGCGGAAGATGCAGATGCTGAGGAAATATTTAATTATCACCACTATTTACATAAAAATATTTGATAACTTGTGTTTTAGAATGCATTTTGAAGACATTTAAAATGGAATGTTTTAATTTGAGCTTTAAAAACCCGTAGAGTCCATATTATAACTGATCAGAATTTTCAGTGTGCAACACGTTGTTATTGGCAACCATTCACAGCCACTTGAATAATGGCTATATCGTACCACCTCAGAGTTTCATTCATAAGAGTTTCCCGTGTGCAAAAACTATTAAACTATTTGTCAGGGAAAGCTTTAATTAATTATTCATGTGCCAAAGTTGAAAGTTTAAAATAAGTCGACCCTAAACAGTATTTTAGTGATAAGGGGATGCGTTGCCTTATATTTATATAAACAATATAGTTAATTTAGTCATTGCGCATGACGAGATCAGCGGAATGAGGTCACAAGATGTGGAGGTTTCGTCCATAGTAAAAAATACCTAACGAGCTCACACTTTAAAAATTTGTAACTCAAAAATAAATTAAGCTAAAAATAAAAAGTTGATTCTGGTTTCATTTTTTTATTTGAAATTTGCTCTAAATTACTGTAATTAATAAATTATTATTTTGAATTTTAAAATTTTTTTACAAAGTACCTACATAAACCAGTGCTTTTTTAGAGGGTATATATTTGACATTGCGGCTAATGTTGAGAACGAGGCCCATGATGTCATTTGGGTGTTTATTATAGGTGCAGTGAATTAGCGTTCAGGTTAGGCATAGGGATCGATTTAAGGTTCAAACAGTTAGCCATAGGGATCGATTTAGGGTTCAGGTTAGGCATAGGGAAAGATTTAAGGATACATTAGTGACAGAATTAACTGGTTGTGTCAACCAAGATGGCGGCCATCGCGAGCCTTGTTCTCAAAATTTACCGACATAGCCTTAAACTTAAAATAAATGTTTTTCTTGCAAATTTATAGCTGGTTTTAAGACTTAAGTTTTAATTTTATTATTGAAAAGTTATTGTTGATTTTTAAAAACAATAATGACAAAATAATACCTTTTCATTTGTATTTTATTTAAAGTATTTAATTAACCATAAGTATATATCAGATAATCCTACAAAATAACATTTAGCATCATACCCCGTATGTAGATTCTTTTTTATTTCTAACAGCAGTCCTTGAAAGAAAGCGTCTCTCTGTTGGGCCATTCGAAGCTATCGATAATACATCTTCTTCATCTACTTCTCCATCTTCTGAACCACTTCTTTTCTTTCCACCTCCTATCCCAAATCTATGGTTATCATCAGCGCTCGAAGAATCTGATCCTTGAATTTCTACATCAGATTCATCGGTTGATTCTGTGTTATCAACGCAAATTTTTAAATTGGGAAGCTTTTTTCTGGTCGCCATGTTTATTTTGGTTGCATATTAAAAATTAAGACCGGCTTTCCGATTTCGATTTCCTTTGGAAATTCGCAAAATAAATTATTTAATAAGTTTCGCCTGCTTTGAAAACACAACTCAATACCAATATGAATTTTGAAGTTATCTTAAAATAGTTAAATGACTCTCAAACTTATTTTTATAGAAAGTTTGGGAAAATGTTCAAAAAATGTTACACTAGTATTTTGTGATTTTTGGAAAAATTGTATTTTGAAACGTTAAAATTTAAAATAGAACAACAAATCTTTAGCAATTCACTAAATCTTTAAAATTAAAACAGACTATGTTTAAAAGGTAATTAAAGGATATAAAAATGTAGTTACTACTTATTAATATAGCTTAACAGGTTAGACATATTTGTTAAGGAGGCGTCCATTAATTACGTCAACGAAATAGGGGGAGGGGTTTTGAAATATTTGACAGTTGTTGACAAAGGGGGAGGGAGGAGGTTTAGATTAGTTGACGTCAACAATCATGTTTCTATATTAAAATTTTAATCTTAAAAATTGACTCGTTATTACATTACTTTCTTTAGAATATATAATTGTAAATGAGTGTAAAGGGTCATGTAAACATTAATATAATTTTTAGGCTTTTAACAATATAAGATTTATTTAATGTGTGTCTGTGCACTGCAGATGGCTGGTTAGAATGTTAGCAAACTTTGTTAGTGCAAGAGAAGTCAAAATTTGTCCTCTTTTCCCCTGTAGATTCTGTTGCAGGTATGGAACAAGGACAAGGTTCAAGTGTCATGTGTAGTCAAGATTAATTATATAGATCGAGTATGAATAAGATATTTTGAGATTTAGGTGAATGTTAAGTGAGTAACAATAATAACATCGCTGCTTGAACGGATTTGCAAAATCTGTAACATCTATTTTGCATCACAAGTCATGTTGAAAAACATGTTCAACAGCACCGACAATGCCCACATGAGCATAAGAAATTACCACCTGCTCCTCAACAGAAAAAGATTCAATCAATGCGAGTGGCAAGGAGATAGGGAAAACGTATGACTCACACCGACATTGCTTCTATTTTAAGTGCTAAATGTTAATATGATGATGTTGACTTGTCTGGTATTATTGTTCGTCCGTCGAGGTGACTGATGACTTTCGCGGGTGACTTTGTTTAAAGTGAAGAAGAGGTGCGCGGCGTCTACCTCACTCTCTCGTCCGAGCCCACCATATCCAGTGGCAAGACTCTACGTCAAGACGACCAGGGATGGGTTCGGTTGCAGGAATTGTCATTGTTTGCGCCTTACGGGACTCCAACTCCGGGTTTGAATTCAGAGTTTCCTTCTCTTAGATGAGTTGCCGACCAAGGTTAACGAGTCTCATCCACCCGGGGGTGATGTTTTTGCTTGACTGGCCTTTGGCTGGACTTGAACACCAGACCACCAACTTAAGGTTTGCTCAGTTTAGACCATTTGGCCACCCAGTCACCCAGTCTGGTATATCAGTGCCGCAAGCTGAAAATGATAAATCAGCTACTACAATGCCCTTCAAGGGGTCATTTCAGGTTCTTTTCAGGGGGAAGGGAGGGGGCAAAACTAAAACTTGGTTGGCTTGTTAAGTTGCTAATTACTTGAGCCGCCACAGTACACAGAAATATATATAAAACCTGCAAATTATATTTGGAGGGGGGGAAGCCCCCCTGCCCCCCCCTACCCAAATAATGTCCCTGATGCCCATTGTTGCGATAGAGCAAAACCTGGCTACTCCTTGGGAAGATGATAGCAGCTAGAAAGTAAACTATAATTGTCAACGTTACTTACTAATAATATGGCAATGATATGTAGTCTTTAACAACATAAAATTTAAGTGTAAAATCTTTTAACTTGTCTATTAACAAGCTTAAGATGTAATAAATGTTTTTCCTACAATTTTGTGTCATTAAAATAGATCAGCACAAAGTAAAATTTATTTATAGGGCCTACATTTATTTATAATCGAATTACTTTTTTTTTGGGGGGGGGGGGGGGGGCAGGGAGTTAGAAAATGTTGACATAGTTAAATAGGTAGTCATTAAAGTTTGACAGTTGTTGACAAAGGGCGAGGGGTAAAAAATTTGATTAAAAATTGTTGACGTAATTAATGGACGTTAAGATAAGGTGTAACGTTTTTTTTGTTGTTTTTTTTATAAATGGAATTAGCTGTTGACATTTACGTCACATAATTTTTTTTATTTAATTTTACGCCTAATGTAGCTGCTGTTAAGCCACGTGTTAACCAGTTAGAAACTAGCCCAATCACAGTAGTGTGGTCAGTGTACTTCAGAAAATAGTCCGCTCACTGTGGTGTAGTCAGAGTGTAGCTAACAGAAACTAGTCCGATCACAGTAGTGTGGTCAGTGTACTTCAGAAAATAGTCCGCTCACTGTGGGGTAGTCAGAGTGTAGCTAACAGAAACTAGTCCGATCACAGTAGTGTAGTCAGAGAGTTACAGAGTGTAGTAACACTAAGAAACTAGAACGAACACTATAAGCAATAAGCAACCCTTAAACATTAAAAATGAAAGTTCAAATAATAAAAAAAATACATATTTTAAACACTAAAGCCTCACCCCCCCCCCCCACGCATCTTTTAAAATATTTCTTTGGGGTTGTCCATTAATTATGTCAACAATTTTTACGCCTCCTCATAGCCCCCCTCTCGGGTCAACAACCGCATCCGGAAATTTGATCGAAAGAAAATTAGTCGACTGAAAATTGATTGACAAAATTTAATCGAACGGAAATTCTGTCAAATATTTTATTCAGTTCACACGTCAAAATTTTGCGTAAAACTTCTTTTGAAAGAAATTTGATGAGCCCATGACCTAAACCATAAACATCGTAAAATTAACAACAAAATCAAACACGATACGGAGCTTAGCTATATTTATGTGTCATTATATGTGCTAGTGTTGCTGGTCGGTTGTTGGTGTTGCTGGTCGGTTGTTGGTGTTGCTGGTCGTTTGTTGGTGTTAGAAGTTTTCTTTTTTTGTTCAAGCCAATCGTTTCACATATGAAATCAGTGTTCAGTTACATTACTATTATTTAAGTCTATGACTTAACGTTGAAACAATGCACACACAAACAGATAAACTATGACGATTCGATTTTCATCACTTTCAAGCCAGGTCACATGTGAGATTAAATATGACTTGAAATTGAAATGGAAACCGTGAAATAGCTAGACATTGTGCCCATCTGGGTGGATTTTGAACTATCCCCCCCCCACACACACACACACATTTTTTGTCATCTCGACAACAAAAAATAGTTACAGTGCTATTTATTATAGTTGAACCTGTCAATAGCGGTGTCACTAGCACATGGCCATCTTAAGAACATAGGGGGCCCTGGGCACAGCAATGCATTTGGGCCCCCAGCAACACAACACACCAGTTTCGTTAGAAAGGGGAGGGGGGTGAAGTGGGGCTCTCGCCCCATGCTCAAACATTGGGGGGGGGGGGGAAAACAATTGTTGCTCCCACCCCACCTCACCAAGGGGAGAACATTGTAAAAAAAGAATAAACATTCAAAAAAGTTAAAAATAGGTTAATTAAAATTATTTATACCCAAACAAAAAATTTCATTCTCAATGCATTTGGGCCCCCAGCAACACAACACACCAGTTTCGTTAGAAAGGGGAGGGGGGTGAAGTGGGGCTCTCGCCCCATGCTCAAACATTGGGGGGGGGGGGGGAAAACAATTGTTGCTCCCAACCCAACTCACCAAGAGGATAACATTGTAAAATAAGAATAAACATTCAAAAAAGTTAAAAATAGGTTAATTCAACTTATTTATACCCAAACAAAAAATTTCATTCCAGTGCAATAGTGGTTTTAAAACATTATCAGAAATACATTATAATTAATCTCAGATGGTGATAAATTATCAGGCTCTCCATTTTATTACTTAGTCTTTCTGCCTCACACCTCATTTTTTTATTTTCCTGATCAGTGTCAGCTGATACAGAGTCCAGAGAATCTTGAATATTTTTCGACGACCATATTGTGTCAGACAGAGGCTTTAAGACAAGGAGAGAGTTTCCTAAGGAAGTTACCAGAACATTCCATCGATGTGTGGACGCTGAGAAAAGGGTATATTGGTGCTGAAGAAAATCAAAGAATTTTCAAACTTGTAAACAACACTCTGCTGCTTTTAAGCCCACTAAGTTTATGCTGTGTCCAGCACAAGGGACATACATGGCAAACTCCTGCTTGCAATCCAGTGTAGCATCCAGACATATAAATTTTAAGCTTTGTCATACGATTGACTACGGCAAATTGAAGGCGGAATTTTGTTCTCGTTCGGGAAATCCAAAACATTGTCTGCTAGAGCCTTTGATACACGACAGTGTCTGTTCGATCCTTTGATACACAACAGTGTCTGTTCGACCCTTTGCTCCATGGGGAAATATGGAAATTAACCTGATGAAACGTTCCACAAACTTACATCCTCGAATGTACCGGACCGTAAATGTCAGTTGATCAAGGTGTGAAATGTCTGAAGTGGAATCATAACTTATTGAATAATACTTTGACTCTTTAATTTCTTCCAGAATAGCACAAAGGATATTTTGCCCCATTAGATCAACAATTTTTTCTCAAATATTTGCCGACAGTTACGCTGTGTTACCCTCTCCAGCATTTCCATATAGTTTGAGATACTCTTCCAAAAAAGGGTTAAATTAACTCAGCAGCTCTAAAATACATAAACAAAAATTTCCATTGTTTACTGACCCAATAGTTTGACCCAAACCTCTGGAGGCAAGAAAGTGAACGACACAAACCCCACGAGTCAGAACTTTATGCCAATACGTCTGTGTTGACCAATGGTTTTTGATTAATAAAGGACCTAAACACCTAAAGCTTCTTTCAGTCGAAGAAAATATGCAGTCATGTCCTTGCGATGCACTACTCCATTTTCATGTTCTACAATTAGATTGTTATGTTTCCAGCACTTAAATCCTGATATAGCAAAAGGAAAT